TCCCTCCTCTCCCCTCCCTCCTCTTCCTGTTTCTAATCCTTCTCTCTTTCTTCCTGTGTCCACACCCCATAGTGACAACATGGAGGGAAATGCTGGCTTCAGATGATTTCAGATGATAAATTAAGATGTCAAAGGTAATCTCAAACATTTGAAATCACTTCTTTCTTCTGATAGGATGTGTGCAATGCTAACCTTGGCCTTGGAGATAAAATAGGACAATGGCAAGAAAACCTTATTCTTTGGTTTTGAGTTCCCAATGCCTGTCTTAAGGAGCTGATGGCAGAGTGGAAAGGAAGGGATTGCTTGAAGATCACCATTGGAGGGAGCCACCTAAGCTCCTGAGCCAGTTGGTAGATGGAAGTACATGAAGAGTGGTCCCCACTGTCTTCTAGAGCTTTGAGAATTGTCTGCTTCATAATGGTCTGTGTCCTGGGGTTCTAAAGGTCAGACCTGGTCCTAACTGGGGAATTTGTGGCCAACAGCTATCTACTGTTCCCCAGGAATCATGCCCTGCATACTCAACTCGCTAACACAGGAGTCATACACTGTGTGCCCCTCACTCTGAGAAGCGGGAGGGGAGGAAGGAGTAGGCAGATGGTGGATAGGGTAAATAGAGGGAGATCGACTCCTAATTCCAGGTTGCTTGATGGAATCTCTGATCTACTTAGCTTTGGTCAGGGTCCACAGGAGACCAATCAAAGGGGCCCAGGTGGATGACATTGCTGTTGAGGGTGGAGAGTCTGTGTGAAAGGACACAAGGAGGAAGACATGGTGAGTGGGGATGAAGGCTGGCATCTCTTGGTCACCGCCTTATCATATCAAGCTCTACCTCTAGCAGCTGGGACCTTGATACAGCTTCACACTCTAGACCTGGACAAACAGTGACCAGGGAAGTTGGAATCCACAGTCCACCTCCAGTGTCTAAGCCAGTGTCTGAGCCTACCCACCTGTTGGCATGGCTTCCTCGAATTGAGCCCTCTCGCTGCCAGCCTGTCATGGACTGTTGCCTTGGCAGCTGGCCCCTCTTGCTTCTCGTCACCTCGTCAGAACAGACACTTTCCTGGCCTGTCCACTTTGTCTCATCTCTGGCAGCAGATGACTTCTCAACTGCTTTCCCCTAGCAGCAGAGGACCCTCCACCAGCCTCAGATCTCCTTTTCTAGAAGCAGAAGATGGGGTTACTGCTCTCTCCCCACCACTTACACATCTTTCCATACCATCTGGATCTATCTATTTTTAAAAAGGGAAACAATCTTAGGGGGCATTTTATCCCTAAAAAAGTTCCCCAAGAAAAGTTCAAAGATGGACTGTTGTTTAGAGATCAATGAAAAGGAGATGGAATTTAAATATTAAGAAGAAAGCCCTTGCCTTCAGGTAAAGCTGACATTTGCATAATAATGAGAATGACTAGCCAGATGGAATTGAGAGTCTGACCAGAATCTCAAATCCTGGTGAGAGAAGATCCGTTCACCAGAATTGATGATGGGAATATGATAATCAGGGGGTCTGTGGCTGTCCATCATGTTCACAGATCCTGAGACAAAGGAGTGGAGAGAGTTCCCAAACAGGAAGCCACACAACCTGACATTAAACTTAATTCAGTTTCTTTTCCCATCAGCTCCTGACAGATGTGCGATTGTGGGAGTCTCTGTAGGAGGCGGGGGAGAGCGCCTCCCTTCTGTGGGAACTGCCTGACATTGTCATCGCTGGGCTGCTGCTGTTCTTATTGTGATTGCGTTAGACACAGCAGGAGGGTGGGGAAGGGAATTCAGGAGTCTGACCTGAATCATTGCTGGATAGTAATGGGAATGTCTTCCAAGTAAACAGACTCCAAGTAAACACTTTGGTGCCTTTATGACCAGGATAGGGCAGAGTTAGTATCCAAGAGCTGGGATCAGTAATTGGGAAGATACCTTAACTTGAAAATTGAGTTTCCTGAAAGAGACAAAGTTATGTTAGCCTGACCCAGACTTGAATGTGAATTCTCTTATTTTGAGGCAACAAAAACCATTCTGTGGGAAGGTAGAGTTAAGGCGAAGGAGGGTAGAAAATCTCACCATGGCCTTCGCTCTCCTCCCTGATACTGGGCCTTCTACAGTCCCCTTCCTCACCATGAAGGTGGGAACATGGCTCACTTCTTACAGGTTTCTGCCAGCATCCTCTGTCATCATACAGGTTTCTACCAGCACCCTCCATCATCTCACAGGTTTCTACCAGCACCCTCCATCATCTCATAGGTTTCTACCAGCACCCTCCATCATCTCACAGGTTTCTACCAGCACCCTCCATCATCTCATAGGTTTCTACCAGCACCCTCCATCATATCACAGGTTTCTACCAGCATCCTCCATCATCTCACAGGTTTCTACCAGCA